GAGAGAGAGAGAGAGTGAGAGAGAGAGAGAGGGAGAGGGAGAGAGAGGGAGAGGGAGAGAGAGAGCGCGAGAGAGGGAGAGAGAGAGCACGGGAGAGGGAGAGAGAGAGAGCGAGAGAGAGAGACTACTAAGACTGTGGTATCAAATGTTCACGTTATAATTTGTTACGCACTGGGCCAGCTGGCCAATCAGAGCAGACTGCGCTTGTCTGAAGGAGGGACTTTGTAGAAAACTAATCGTTTGAGAGAGGCGGGGCATAGAGGACCTACAATAATGTACAGTATTTGAAAAATAATGTTTTTTGAACATTAAAGCATGTCAACATATTCTGTTACACCAAATACGCCAAATTAAAAAAGCATCATATGACCCCTTTAAAAAACCTGGAGGTGAGGAATAATACAAAAATTGTCATATTCACTCAGTATTACTTGATCTAATTCACAACTATCTCAATTAGTATTCAGTTGTGTTTTAGACACTAAAACAGCCCAGTGCTTTATAGTCAAACACAAATAGCCTTCCTGGCCACCCCTATGAAAACATCCTGGCTCTGCCACTGCTTTCATGCAATGCAAGTAAAAGGGGATCACCAAACTGACATCAAAGAACTAGCGGCACCAAAAGCTGTCTGTTATTGCCTTGCAACACCTAGGCCAAAAAGTTGCGCTTTAACACATCGCAAAGACTACAACCATCAGCAAACTAGTATATATGCTCTGAGCTTGCGTGAGAGGATATAACTCTCCATACCAGCAGGTGGCAGTAGTCTGTATTTGTCATTCAAAAAAGGGAAACTGGAAGAGCTAGGACTGTGAATATAAAAATTGTAAATAAAGCAGCAGCTTCATTGTTTGCTTGCTTTCGTCACTTTTTTTCACATTCGTTTTTTCTTGTGCACTGGTTCACGAATCTGAACAGCAAATAAGAATGATCTTGCTTGCTGTCAGGCTCCATCAGCGATTCAACATTCTCAATCGGCTAAAAAGCTGCTGACAGCGGTCCAATTAGTGCCAGTGGTGCAGAAAACAAGGCAAAAGCTAGGCCAAAAGATGCTGGCCTTACATTGCCTAACCGCCGGCTTGTTGCATCATGGCTGTCAAGCTCTAAAAAGCACAAAATGTATAATAAAAAGGTGCATATGAGTTGTGAGCTATATAAGTGTTCTGAAGTAAAATTATTTCTTTTGAATAGCGATGCACCAAACAAAATTTTGTCAACTGAAAATATTCTGCCCAAAATGGCAGAAAGTTTTGGTGGGCTGAAATTGATCAAAACAATGACATTTAATTAGAAGTTCTCCAATGATGAGTTTTGATTGTGTCAGAATCTTTTTCGTCAGTAAAAGTGACCAACTTTACTGTGACCAAGAATAATGCTGAAGTAACAATATATAAAGTTTGTTCATCTTAAAAAAATCAAGAGGCTTGTTGCCAAAGAATATACGACTGGTCTAATTTATCACCTGAGAACACGACACTCTGAACAGCATAAACAATTGTCCAAAATCTGAAAACTTTATTTTCAGTTTTGGTTTTCGGCTAAATGTAAAATGTGTATTTATTCATTTAATAAATTTGGGTTTAATTAAGTTTAACATTTTGGTGTTTTGGGAGGAAAAGAAGCTCAGCTTGGTGCTTCATTACTTTTGAGTGAGGAACAGAGTGAAATTAAATCCTTATTCCCTGGAAATCTTGGATTAAATGTCTTGTTTAAGAGTTATAATCATCATTTACTATATAGAAAAGAGCAGTTTGAACAATCTACTATAAATAGCTTATTTTGTGATTCATGTAAGACAGAAGGTCCTACAGGTTTTGAAATACTTGAGCGTGGATTGACTGTTCCTTTAAGATACAGGTCTTGAGCACATCCAGAATCTTTATTTGCTTTTACCACCACGCATTTGCACTTGCATACATAATCATAATTTCTCCGCAGGCATCGCTCTAAACAGACTGTTTGCTTTGATTTTCTCACACACACACACACACAAACACACACAACAACGCAGTCTAGCCAGCAAATCCCACTAACTTTTTGTTCTTTTAGATATTCGGGCATGCTCCGAGCAGCTCTCCATCCTTAGCAACTACAGCATCAACCAGACAGTCCAAGAGGCTCAGCCGGCAGAATCGCCCGCTGGCTGTATACAACCCGCAGGTGCTGGATATTCAAACAGGTACGAGAGACCAATCGGCTTTAAGCACAGTAAGGTTAAGCAAACCACCACAAGGAATTATAGTTGTCACATATGTCTGCTATCAAATACATAATATAGAGCCTGCATCTGCATAATATAGGGAAAAATAAAGATAAGCAGACCCACACAGACTCTCATATGTATTGCACCAAAATTACAGAAAATACTGGGGAAAAAAGTCTGCAGATTCCGTCTGAGCCTGAAGATACAATATATAATATATAAACTGTTAAGCTACCACTTTAAAGACGTGCAGCAATTCATAGATGTAAATGTTCAGTTGGATAATCCTAGTGGTAAAATCACCATTTGTACAGTACTTATGCAGTCCTTTTGCAGTTTATTCCCATGTGGAGTTTGACCTTTTGTCTCCGTGAGGGTTCATGACTATGTAAGACTACTGCACACTGAGCAATCAGATGTGATGTTCTGCTGAAACATGCTGATTACCCATTGTCACTCTGGGCTACAGGATGTAGTTTGCCAGTCCATATTTAGGTGGATAACTGATGCCTTAGTGACCCTGGACTGCTTAGAAATGTGTCTCCAAGTGTTAAATTTTCTATTTGGGTTTGATACACCACCCAACAGGAATGATTTCAGACTGGGATCAATGCAGGATTATCCTTTGGTTTTGAACAAAGGATTTTTATTTTTAGTACAGAACAAAGCAGACCATATCTTAAGTTTCACTTTTCAGTTAAACAGTTATGAGTTTTTATTTATTTATTTTTAACTTTTTTTACTCTGCAGCTGTGCATGTGTACTCAAATTAGTATTAACTTTTTTTCACAAAGTGAATTAGCACATTGTTGCAAAGCTTTCCAAGAAGTGTGTGGGGTTTGAAAGTGCTGCAGTTTTCAGAGTCAGACTAACCACACTTTTCCACACAAGGTTGTAAACACTGGTTATTTGGTTAGTAGAAATCTCTCTACTTTGGAATGTTACTATAGAAAGGGGATGTGGCCACTGCCAACATAAACACACTAAGGTGGAAAACTGTAAATTTGTGCATTTATAATGGATTCATGAAATCAGCATTTTCGGGTTTAAAGGACCTCTGTGCATTTTAGTTTTGTGCAGGATATGTGAAACTTTGGGTGAAAAGTATGGCCACCCTTAATGTAAACGCATGACCAGCCAAATACTATACTTTATACAATTTATATTGGTAAAATACTAGGATATAGGACAGAACAGGATAGAAGTATGTATCTGTTGTTAGAACACAATAAGTGTTTATATTACCTCTTACATTTAGTGTTTTTGTTTAAATGTATATGGTAGCAGTCACTTTGCTACACAAGAGTGTTAAAACCAATAACAAACTGTCCGTTTCAAAATAAGACATGTCAATTCATTTCTACAAAGGCATTAAGAATGAGAAAGGGTGAGAAAATAATCAAAATATCACATATTTTGAAAGAAGGTGCAGTTTGAATCCTTAAACTCATTTTTTTTTCTTGAAAAAACTTAGTTTGAAACTCTTGAATGTGATGAACTAATATGATGACAGTATGAGGACAAAAAATAATCATTAAAAATGTTTTACTAGTTGGATCATGAAGTCATACGGAGTCTTTAGTTTCCCCAGACCACATACAGTATACTACCGGACACATGCACACACACAGACTTAGCAAGCTCATTTTTATGGAGTATTCACATAACATATTCATGAATAGTGTGAATTAATGTCAAGAATGGTTCTGAACTTGGCTCTCTCTTTCTCTCTCTCTCTCTCTCTCTCTCTCTCTCTCTCTCTCTGTCTCTGTTTTTTTCATTTATATTTTGTTTTTCTTTTTGTTTTTTGTGCATT